GCAACAACCTAGCGGGACCGTCCGGGACAGGTATTGCCTCGAAAGGCTATTCTCTGGAGAGCAAGGCTGGTTTATCCTAGTCTGAGAACGACGACGCTTCCCTAAGCCCGCAATGAAGAACTCTCTGCAAGTCTAAGGCGCGACAATCGACCCCGAGGCAGCGCGTCGTCAAGAGATCAGAGGCGGCCACTACGAACATCTCGAGACACAGGAGCCAGCAGTCGTCAAGTCAACGCGTCGATAGGCCAGGACGAGGAACATCATCAGCCAGTAGAACCAGAGCGAGGAGGTACCGAGGCCAGCCCAGTCACACACTCGCTGTATTAAAAAAACGAGAATGAAACCCACTGTTACCATTCGAACCCTGTGTTTCCCACTGATCTACGGGGCAGTCACGTCATATAAATTTGGTGGGACGAACATACAATCTTAGGAGCTAGCAGCACGAATCTCTTAGCGAGCAGACCAACAAATCTGCTTCGAATTACGTATCTCCACCAGTTTCTTCAATACATCTTATGGCGCTATAGGCCCGAAGACGAAATTCAAGTATACTCGCTTGACACCAAACGTATGGCACTAAGCCTGCTGCCTTTTTTGGCAATTCGTACCATGCAGCAGCTATCCTATGATGATGAAGCGGAGTTTCCAATTGCAGCCAAGATCATACGCACAAACTTATACGTTGATGATTTAATCTCAGGAGGAGACAGTTATGAAGAGGTTGTTGAAATTCGTCAACAAGTTAAGGAACTCTTGGACAGGGGACATTTTCCGATTCCCAAATGGTGCTCCAACGAGCCTGCGGCGCTAAATGGAATAAAAGCGCGGCGGATGATACAAAGGCGTTGGGTTTGGCTTGGGATACTCTATCGGATAATTTGCTCCTCAGCTTCTTAAGCGGGTGGACAGGTTAGCCCGCAACCAAGCGCTGCATTCTGTCGACCATCGCTAGATTAATGGCCCCGATCATCACCAAGCTAAAGATTTTTATGCAGGTCCTATGGAAGGATAAGCTTGACTGGGAAGAGTCCTTACCGCAGTCACTACACCCGCCTTTGTTGGAGCACATGTCACAGATCGCAAAAGTAGCTTACTGGAAGTTTCCACAGATTATTTTGCAGCATTACTCATTCTGCGAAGTACAAGGATTTTGTGACGCAAGCTTGGTCTTCAAGGGCGTAACTCTTGAGCGCCGTAAGCGCGGCGCTCAAGAGTTACGCCCTTGAAGACCCTCACCATTCCGAAGCTAAAGTTATCCGCAGCCCTTTTATTGTCCAAGCTCATCTCTGAATTTTCCTTCAGCGTGCACGCTTCATTGTTGGTGAGATTCTAAAATCGTTTTGGCATGGATTCGTCAACCTCCGTCAGACTTTAACATATTTGTCTCAAGCAGGACTTCACAGATACAAGAGAGAACTAAAGGAATGAACTGGAGGCACTGATAGCGCACCTTCAGTCGAGCGTCCCTGACCCTGAGCGTCGACGCAGCGCATTGGTGCTGTCACAGGAAATGGATATTTCGTATAGTTGCAAAGAGTTGCTGAGAGTTTTCGGGTACATATATCGGTTCCATCTAACGCGCAGCAAAGATCGGGTTAGGCATAACCTCTTACAGTCGAGGAAATTAAAGGCGGTACTCATCTGCTCATTAAAGGGATTCAGCGTGTGCACTTTGCCGAGAAGAATATGGCCCTAACTTCGAAGATGCAGCTGTCGCCAAAGAGCAGACTTCTTTCTTTGAACCCATTTCTGGATGAAGGCGTACGCCTTCAAAGTTCTCAGCTGGATTTCGATGCCAAGCACCCAATGATTCTCCCAAAGTTTCATCGCGTAACCTCAGCCAGGTTCTGGCCTATTGGAGGACGAAAAACGGTTTCTGCTGTCATCAGCAAGTGCATTCAATGCTTCAGATTAAAGCTCAAACTAGTAGAGCACATCATGGTGCTGCTCTTAGAGGATCGTGTTCAGCCGAAACGCCCATTTGTAATCGCTGAAGTTGATTTTTGTTAACCCATTCAATTCATTGTCGGAGGTCAGGAACAGGCCTCCTATGAAATGCTACATAGCCATTTTCCTTTGTTTCGTCATTGAGGCTACACACTTGGAAGAAGTCGAGGATATTTCAACTCAATCTTTTATTGCAGCGCTAATAAGATTTATAAGCCTGAGGGGGGAAGACTCAAACGATCTGGTCGGACAACGCAACCAATTTTGTGGGAGCCGAAAATGAGGTTATTGAGCCTCGGCAGTTGTTCCTCAGCGATTCTCAAAGCAGCGAGTTTTGGAGTTCCCTTACTTCGATGGAAATTAAGTTTCCCACACTTTGAAGGCTTGTGGGAAGGCGCGGTAAAATCCGCGAAATAACATTTTGAAATCGTTGTTGAAAAGTCGTTACTCACATTTCATGAGCTGCGCACCTTAGTTTGTGAATTTTCTGCAATGTTAAACTCACAGCCACACTTTCCCATTTCAGAGAACCCAGATGACATCGACGTTTTGACGCCTGCTTACTTTCTCATTTGGTCTACATTTACCTCAATGGACGAACCTGACGTCTGACATGTGTGCCAAATGCAGCAAATATTCCGGCGCAAATGGAGCACCATCAACTTTTCGTTGCTGCAGGAGCGAAGCAAATGGCAAAGGGCAACGAGGAAGTTAACTGTCCTGCCCCTTGAAACCACTTCACTTCGAAGTATGGCTCTTCCAACGGGGGGAGCATGTCAGGAGCAATCACTTAATTGAAGTAAAATCACTGATTGTTTGTTATTTGGTCAGCATCACTGACAACAAGAATGTAAACAAAGGATTCCTGAATTATCTATTTTGTATGCGTGCACGTATGGATAAGATGAGATAAGCGCGTTCAGTCGCTGATCTCCGCTCATCTTGCATTCGCTCGTTATCGTTTTCGGAACTCAGTCGCATCGCTGCAGAAATAAACACTTACATAAAAACAAAAACTCTCAGCTTTTTATTCAGCACTGTTCCGGCATCGCATACGTTTTGTTAAAAATTCGCTTTAAAAGGTGTCATAAATTAATGCCACCTTGAAACACTCGTTAATGGCCGTTTTGGGTGCTAGATTCCCAAAATGGAAGACACTATCCGCCAGATCATGGCAAAGGAAGTGTACAACACACATCCGCTAAGATACATCATGAAAACTAGTAATGACTTAATGTAGTTTGAAAATGCCATTAGGACTGGAAATCTCGCACAAATATCAGATCTAACACTAGTAGCGGGACACATCAAGCGAACGCAGGCAGCAATCATCAACGTCGTGACCGAACTAAAAAGGCGTATAGTTGACCCTGCATTAGTCCCCGTAAGTAAATTAAGAACGGCGCTGGTAAATATACTGTGTGGAGTTGAATAACTAACAAATTGCAGCGACAATTATACATGGTGGCCTGCCGGCTACCAGATACGGCGGCTACCCTTTGCGAGTACAAGGAACATTATATGTCAAAATGCTCACAATTTTTAGGATTGACTGCCCCTCAGCGGTATAAAGAAGCGAAAAGGTTTCATCTTTGTTTAAATTACCCACGAAAGGGACACAGGAAAATCTCGAGTTCGCCGACTATCTCTTTTACAAAAGTCGGCGCATCGACTTGCTTATTGGAGCAACGTTATTTTTCGAGCTGCTTTGTATTGGACAAATTCGTTTAAGAAACCATTTACCCGTCCTTCAGAAAACCAGACTAGGCTGGATCATCTCAGGGTGTCTAAAGGTAGGAGCGTCTACGCGCTCATCTTTAGTTTCTTCAGTTCAGGAAACCAGCCGGACTCAGAGTCGATATCGAAGGAGGAAGCTCTTTGCGAGCAGCTATTTCAACAACAGTACACTCGGCTGGAATCTGGCCAATATTCGGTTCTGCTTTCTGCCGAAACTAGTTACAACTAGTTCTTGGAAATTCGTGCGCTCCTTCGGTTTCAGACACTCGAAGCTAAATTAGCTAGAAATTTAGATCTGAAGTCGCAGTACACAGCCTTTATAAGGAATTACGTCAACCTTGGCCACATGTCTCTAGCACCTAAAAACGCGGCAGCGCATCAACATTATTTGCCTCATTATTGCGTGAAAAAATTGGAAAGCACAACTACGAAGCTGCTTGTTGTTGATTGATTTGTTGTACGCAGGTCGCCCCATTCAACCAAAAAGGTTCAAGGATCAGTCGATCACGAGGGGTCAAACTATCAAGATCAGTCAAAATTCCAAAGTTAACAGTCAGTCAACCGAGTGAACTACAAGGGAGCCACAAGGCGAGCAAGATCGCCACGTCGAAAGGTTCGGGATTGGGACATCAGGAAAGTCCAAATCACACGGCGAAGTCAAAGCGTTTGGTTTCCAACTCGGTTTGTCACGACCACACCCTGGCGAATCGCCAGCCGGGTCTGTCAGAGTCAAGCGAAAGAGGTCTGCCACAAGGAACCGTGAGCTCGGGGAGGGAAGTTGTCTAAGACCCAGCGTACCTTGCCCGAGCAAGCAGGACCTGGCGTGAAGAAGAGCGGTGGATCGATTTGTGGTTTCAAGAGTCGTTATCCTGGAGAGCCCTGCGATTACTGGCGACGTTCCCGAACAGCTGAGGCATTCAAGAGGCGTTGTCCTGGAGGAGCCCAGCTGTTCGGCAAGTCCCGGAACGGCGGTTGCCCAAGGACACGAAAGACAGGAAACAGCGCAGAGGACATCGGCAGCGACGCCAGCAGACATCACCGGCAGCCACGTCACCATCGCCGCGCGGAGCTCATAAAGCAAAGTGAACTGCTAGGCAGCTTTCTGGCGTTAGCCTTGACTGTCAGCGCGATCTGAGCAACAACCTAGCGGGACCGTCCGGGACAGAGCAAGGGACAGGTATTGCCTCGAAAGGCGATTCTCTGGAGAGCAAGGCTGGTTTATCCTAGTCTGAGAACGGTGACGCTTCCCTAAGCCCGCAAGGCCGAACTCTCTGCGAGTCTAAGGCGCGACAATCGACCCCGAGGCAGCGCGTCGGCAAGCGATCAGAGGCGGCCACTACGAACATCTCGAGACACAGGAGCCAGCAGTCGTCAAGTCAACGCGTCGATAGGCCAGGACGAGGAACATCATCAGCCAGTAGAACCAGAGCGTGGAGGTACCGAGGCCAGCCCAGTCACACACTCGCTGTATTAATAAATCGAGAATAAAACCCACTGTTACCATTTGAACCCTGTGTTTTCTCATTGATCTACGGGGCAGTCACGTTATATAAATTTGGTGGGACGAACATACAATCTTAGGAGCTAGCAGCACGAATCTCGTAGCGAGCAGACCAACAAATCAGCTTCGAATTACGTATCTCCACCAGTTTCTTCAATACATCTTATGGCGCTATAGGCCCGAAGACGAACTTCAAGTATACTCGCTTGACACCAAATGTACGGCACTAAGCCTGCTGCCTTTTCTGGCAATTCGTACAATGCAGCAGCTATCCTGTGATGATGAAGCGGAGTTTCCAATTGCAGCCAAGATCATACGCACAAACCTATACGTTGATGATCTAATCTCAGGAGGAGACAGTTATGAAGAGGTTGTTGAAATTCGTCAACAAGTTAAGGAACTCTTGGACAGGGGACATTTTCCGATTACCAAATGGTGCTCCAACGAGCCTGCGGCGCTAAATGGAATAAAAGCGCGGCGGATGATACAAAGGCGTTGGGTTTGGCTTGGGATACTCTATCGGATAATTAGCTCCTCAGCTTCTTAAGCGGGTGGACAGGTTAGCCCGCAACCAAGCGCTGCATACTGTCGACCATCGCTAGATTAATGGCCCCGATCATCACCAAGCTAAAGATTTTTATGCAGGTCCTATGGAAGGATAAGCTTGACTGGGAAGAGTCCTTACCGCAGTCACTACACCCGCCTTTGTTGGCGCACATGTCACAGATCGCAAAAGTAGCTTACTGGAAGTTTCCACGGATTATTTTGCAGCATTACTCATTCTGCGAAGTACAAGGATTTTGTGACGCAAGCTTGGCCGCTTACGGCGCTCAAGAGTTACGCCCTTGAAGACCCTCACCATTCCGAAGCTAAAGTTATCCGCAGCCCTTTTATTGTCCAAGCTCATCTCTGAATTTTCCTTCAGCGTGCACGCTTCATTGTTGGTCAGATTCTAAAATCGTTTTGGCATGGATTCGTCAACCTCCGTCAGACTTTAACATATTTGTCTCAAGCAGGACTTCACAGATACAAGAGAGAACTAAAGGAATGAACTGGAGGCTCTGAAAGCGCACCTTCAGTCGAGCGTCCCTGACCCTGAGCGTCGACGCAGCGCATTGGTGCTGTCACAGGAAATGGATATTTCGTATAGTTGCAAAGAGTTGCTGAGAGTTTTCGGGTACATATATCGGTTCCATCTAACGCGCAGCAAAGATCGGGTTAGGCATAACCTCTTACAGTCGATTAAATTAAAGGCGGTACTCATCTGCTCATTAAAGGGATTCAGCGTGTGCACTTTGCCGAGAAGCATATGGCCCTAACTTCGAAGATGCAGCTGTCGCCAAAGAGCAGACTTCTTTCTTTGAACCCATTTCTGGATGAAGGCGTACGCCTTCAAAGTTCTCAGCTGGATTTCGATGCCAAGCACCCAATGATTCTCCCAAAGTTTCATCGCGTAACCTCAGCCAGGTTCTGGCCTATTGGAGGACGAAAAACGGTTTCTGCTGTCATCAGCAAGTGCATTCAATGCTTCAGATTAAAGCTCAAACTAGTAGAGCACATCATGGTGCTGCTCTTAGAGGATCGTGTTCAGCCGAAACGCCCATTTGTAATCGCTGAAGTTGATTTTTGTTAACCCATTCAATTCATTGTCGGAGGTCAGGAACAGGCCTCCTATGAAATGCTACATAGCCATTTTCCTTTGTTTCGTCATTGAGGCTACACACTTGGAAGAAGTCGAGGATATTTCAACTCAATCTTTTATTGCAGCGCTAATAAGATTTATAAGCCTGAGGGGGGAAGACTCAAACGATCTGGTCGGACAACGCAACCAATTTTGTGGGAGCCGAAAATGAGGTTATTGAGCCTCGGCAGTTGTTCCTCAGCGATTCTCAAAGCAGCGAGTTTTGGAGTTCCCTTACTTCGATGGAAATTAAGTTTCCCACACTTTGAAGGCTTGTGGGAAGGCGCGGTAAAATCCGCGAAATAACATTTTGAAATCGTTGTTGAAAAGTCGTTACTTACATTTCATGAGCTGCGCACCTTAGTTTGTGAATTTTCTGCAATGTTAAACTCACAGCCACACTTTCCCATTTCAGAGAACCCAGATGACATCGACGTTTTGACGCCTGCTTACTTTCTCATTTGGTCTACATTTACCTCAATGGACGAACCTGACGTCTGACATGTGTGCCAAATGCAGCAAATATTCCGGCGCAAATGGAGCACCATCAACTTTTCGTTGCTGCAGGAGCGAAGCAAATGGCAAAGGGCAACGAGGAAGTTAACTGTCCTGCCCCTTGAAACCACTTCACTTCGAAGTATGGCTCTTCCAACGGGGGGAGCATGTCAGGAGCAATCACTTAATTGAAGTAAAATCACTGATTGTTTGTTATTTGGTCAGCATCACTGACAACAAGAATGTAAACAAAGGATTCCTGAATTATCTATTTTGTATGCGTGCACGTATGGATAAGATGAGATAAGCGCGTTCAGTCGCTGATCTCCGCTCATCTTGCATTCGCTCGTTATCGTTTTCGGAACTCAGTCGCATCGCTGCAGAAATAAACACTTACATAAAAACAAAAACTCTCAGCTTTTTATTCAGCACTGTTCCGGCATCGCATACGTTTTGTTAAAAATTCGCTTTAAAAGGTGTCATAAATTAATGCCACCTTGAAACACTCGTTAATGGCCGTTTTGGGTGCTAGATTCCCAAAATGGAAGACACTATCCGCCAGATCATGGCAAAGGAAGTGTACAACACACATCCGCTAAGGAACATCATGAAAACTAGTAATGACTTAATGTAGTTTGAAAATGCCATTAGGACTGGAAATCTCGCACAAATATCAGATCTAACACTAGTAGCGGGACACATCAAGCGAACGCAGGCAGCAATCATCAACGTCGTGACCGAACTAAAAAGGCGTATAGTTGACCCTGCATTAGTCCCCGTAAGTAAATTAAGAACGGCGCTGGTAAATATACTGTGTGGAGTTGAATAACTAACAAATTGCAGCGACAATTATACATGGTGGCCTGCCGGCTACCAGATACGGCGGCTACCCTTTGCGAGTACAAGGAACATTATATGTCAAAATGCTCACAATTTTTAGGATTGACTGCCCCTCAGCGGTATAAAGAAGCGAAAAGGTTTCATCTTTGTTTAAATTACCCACGAAAGGGACACAGGAAAATCTCGAGTTCGCCGACTATCTCTTTTACAAAAGTCGGCGCATCGACTTGCTTATTGGAGCAACGTTATTTTTCGAGCTGCTTTGTATTGGACAAATTCGTTTAAGAAACCATTTACCCGTCCTTCAGAAAACCAGACTAGGCTGGATCATCTCAGGGTGTCTAAAGGTAGGAGCGTCTACGCGCTCATCTTTAGTTTCTTCAGTCCAGGAACCCAGCCGGACTCAGAGTCGATATCGAAGGAGGAAGCTCTTTGCGAGCAGCTATTTCAACAACAGTACACTCGGCTGGAATCTGGCCAATATTCGGTTCTGCTTTCTGCCGAAACTAGTTACAACTAGTTCTTGGAAATTCGTGCGCTCCTTCGGTTTCAGACACTCGAAGCTAAATTAGCTAGAAATTTAGATCTGAAGTCGCAGTACACAGCCTTTATAAGGAATTACGTCAACCTTGGCCACATGTCTCTAGCACCTAAAAACGCGGCAGCGCATCAACATTATTTGCCTCATTATTGCGTGAAAAAATTGGAAAGCACAACTACGAAGCTGCTTGTTGTTGATTGATTTGTTGTACGCAGGTCGCCCCATTCAACCAAAAAGGTTCAAGGATCAGTCGATCACGAGGGGTCAAACTATCAAGATCAGTCAAAATTCCAAAGTTAACAGTCAGTCAACCGAGTGAACTACAAGGGAGCCACAAGGCGAGCAAGATCGCCACGTCGAAAGGTTCGGGATTGGGACATCAGGAAAGTCCAAATCACACGGCGAAGTCAAAGCGTTTGGTTTCCAACTCGGTTTGTCACGACCACACCCTGGCGAATCGCCAGCCGGGTCTGTCAGAGTCAAGCGAAAGAGGTCTGCCACAAGGAACCGTGAGCTCGGGGAGGGAAGTTGTCTAAGACCCAGCGTACCTTGCCCGAGCAAGCAGGACCTGGCGTGAAGAAGAGCGGTGGATCGATTTGTGGTTTCAAGAGTCGTTATCCTGGAGAGCCCTGCGATTACTGGCGACGTTCCCGAACAGCTGAGGCATTCAAGAGGCGTTGTCCTGGAGGAGCCCAGCTGTTCGGCAAGTCCCGGAACGGCGGTTGCCCAAGGACACGAAAGACAGGAAACAGCGCAGAGGACATCGGCAGCGACGCCAGCAGACATCACCGGCAGCCACGTCACCATCGCCGCGCGGAGCTCATAAAGCAAAGTGAACTGCTAGGCAGCTTTCTGGCGTTAGCCTTGACTGTCAGCGCGATCTGAGCAACAACCTAGCGGGACCGTCCGGGACAGAGCAAGGGACAGGTATTGCCTCGAAAGGCGATTCTCTGGAGAGCAAGGCTGGTTTATCCTAGTCTGAGAACGGTGACGCTTCCCTAAGCCCGCAAGGCCGAACTCTCTGCGAGTCTAAGGCGCGACAATCGACCCCGAGGCAGCGCGTCGGCAAGCGATCAGAGGCGGCCACTACGAACATCTCGAGACACAGGAGCCAGCAGTCGTCAAGTCAACGCGTCGATAGGCCAGGACGAGGAACATCATCAGCCAGTAGAACCAGAGCGTGGAGGTACCGAGGCCAGCCCAGTCACACACTCGCTGTATTAATAAATCGAGAATAAAACCCACTGTTACCATTTGAACCCTGTGTTTTCTCATTGATCTACGGGGCAGTCACGTTATATAAATTTGGTGGGACGAACATACAATCTTAGGAGCTAGCAGCACGAATCTCGTAGCGAGCAGACCAACAAATCAGCTTCGAATTACGTATCTCCACCAGTTTCTTCAATACATCTTATGGCGCTATAGGCCCGAAGACGAACTTCAAGTATACTCGCTTGACACCAAATGTACGGCACTAAGCCTGCTGCCTTTTCTGGCAATTCGTATAATGCAGCAGCTATCCTGTGATGATGAAGCGGAGTTTCCAATTGCAGCCAAGATCATACGCACAAACCTATACGTTGATGATCTAATCTCAGGAGGAGACAGTTATGAAGAGGTTGTTGAAATTCGTCAACAAGTTAAGGAACTCTTGGACAGGGGACATTTTCCGATTACCAAATGGTGCTCCAACGAGCCTGCGGCGCTAAATGGAATAAAAGCGCGGCGGATGATACAAAGGCGTTGGGTTTGGCTTGGGATACTCTATCGGATAATTAGCTCCTCAGCTTCTTAAGCGGGTGGACAGGTTAGCCCGCAACCAAGCGCTGCATACTGTCGACCATCGCTAGATTAATGGCCCCGATCATCACCAAGCTAAAGATTTTTATGCAGGTCCTATGGAAGGATAAGCTTGACTGGGAAGAGTCCTTACCGCAGTCACTACACCCGCCTTTGTTGGCGCACATGTCACAGATCGCAAAAGTAGCTTACTGGAAGTTTCCACGGATTATTTTGCAGCATTACTCATTCTGCGAAGTACAAGGATTTTGTGACGCAAGCTTGGCCGCTTACGGCGCTCAAGAGTTACGCTCTTGAAGACCCTCACCATTCCGAAGCTAAAGTTATCCGCAGCCCTTTTATTGTCCAAGCTCATCTCTGAATTTTCCTTCAGCGTGCACGCTTCATTGTTGGTCAGATTCTAAAATCGTTTTGGCATGGATTCGTCAACCTCCGTCAGACTTTAACATATTTGTCTCAAGCAGGACTTCACAGATACAAGAGAGAACTAAAGGAATGAACTGGAGGCTCTGAAAGCGCACCTTCAGTCGAGCGTCCCTGACCCTGAGCGTCGACGCAGCGCATTGGTGCTGTCACAGGAAATGGATATTTCGTATAGTTGCAAAGAGTTGCTGAGAGTTTTCGGGTACATATATCGGTTCCATCTAACGCGCAGCAAAGATCGGGTTAGGCATAACCTCTTACAGTCGAGGAAATTAAAGGCGGTACTCATCTGCTCATTAAAGGGATTCAGCGTGTGCACTTTGCCGAGAAGCATATGGCCCTAACTTCGAAGATGCAGCTGTCGCCAAAGAGCAGACTTCTTTCTTTGAACCCATTTCTGGATGAAGGCGTACGCCTTCAAAGTTCTCAGCTGGATTTCGATGCCAAGCACCCAATGATTCTCCCAAAGTTTCATCGCGTAACCTCAGCCAGGTTCTGGCCTATTGGAGGACGAAAAACGGTTTCTGCTGTCATCAGCAAGTGCATTCAATGCTTCAGATTAAAGCTCAAACTAGTAGAGCACATCATGGTGCTGCTCTTAGAGGATCGTGTTCAGCCGAAACGCCCATTTGTAATCGCTGAAGTTGATTTTTGTTAACCCAGGCCTCCTATGAAATGCTACATAGCCATTTTCCTTTGTTTCGTCATTGAGGCTACACACTTGGAAGAAGTCGAGGATCTTTCAACTCAATCTTTTATTGCAGCGCTAATAAGATTTATAAGCCTGAGGGGGAAAGACTCAAACGATCTGGTCGGACAACGCAACCAAATTTGTGGGAGCCGAAAATGAGGTTATTGAGCCTCGGCAGTTGTTCCTCAGCGATTCTCAAAGCAGCGAGTTTTGGAGTTCCCTTACTTCGATGGAAATTAAGTTTCCCACACTTTGAAGGCTTGTGGGAAGGCGCGGTAAAATCCGCGAAATAACATTTTGAAATCGTTGTTGAAAAGTCGTTACTCACATTTCATGAGCTGCGCACCTTAGTTTGTGAATTTTCTGCAATGTTAAACTCACAGCCACACTTTCCCATTTCAGAGAACCCAGATGACATCGACGTTTTGACGCCTGCTTACTTTCTCATTTGGTCTACATTTACCTCAATGGACGAACCTGACGTCTGACATGTGTGCCAAATGCAGCAAATATTCCGGCGCAACTGGAGCACCATCAACTTTTCGTTGCTGCAGGAGCGAAGCAAATGGCAAAGGGCAACGAGGAAGTTAACTGTCCTGCCCCTTGAAACCACTTCACTTCGAAGTATGGCTCTTCCAACGGGGGGAGCATGTCAGGAGCAATCACTTAATTGAAGTAAAATCACTGATTGTTTGTTATTTGGTCAGCATCACTGACAACAAGAATGTAATCAAAGGATTCCTGAATTATCTATTTTGTATGCGTGCACGTATGGATAAGCTGAGATAAGCGCATTCAGTCGCTGATCTCCGCTCATATTGCATTCGCTCGTTATCGTTTTCGGAGCTCAGTCGCATCGCTGCAGAAATAAACACTTACATAAAAACAAAAACTCTCAGCTTTTTATTCAGCACTGTTCCGGCATCGCATACGTTTTGTTAAAAATTCGTTTTAAAAGGTGTCATAAATTAATGCCAACTTGAAACACTCGTTAATGGCCGTTTTGGGTGCTAGATTCCCAAAATGGAAGACACTATCCGCCAGATCATGGCAAAGGAAGTGTACAACACACATCCGCTAAGGAACATCATGAAAACTAGTAATGA